AATCGTACGTCTTGAGGCTTATTGCCCCAAGAATATGATTTTTATCATCTTCTGAGCAAAGTAACTGACCACATGTGTATTGACTACAGTATGGGGTGGAACTTGGTTTTGTCAGCCTGTTGCTCCGTGCCCCCATCTGGTTCAGGGCTTTAATGTCTCAGTGGCAAGGTGCCCCTGGCACACTCAGGGGTCTGCAGGGACTCCTCGGAGAAGGAGGCCAGGGGAAGGATGCTGCAGTCTTGGTTGAGTCCCCCGGCAGGAGCTGTAACAGCAGCAGACATCTGGGGAGACAGATAGTGAAAGCCAAGATGAAAATGGCAAAGCTTCCAATGCTGAAGGGCTGTCCTCGAGGACTGGGGAGCTGAAGTGGAACGGCTGAGCATGCTGTTCAGGCCGCTGTGGAAGGGCTTAGCTGGCTCCTGGGAGGGACGTGGAGGCAGGAGGAGGGGAGCACAGCCAGGGAGGAGGGCTTGCTTTCTGAGATGCCTTGCAAAATGCTGTGCACTCATTGCAAGAGAAATTGTGCTTTCTCTTTACAAACAGCGCGTGAGTGGGTTTCTTCCTGAGCTATATTACAGTGTTGCCTGCCAGGGCTGGCAAAGTTTGCAGGACTTCTGTTTCTTGTTGCAAGTGTCTGCCAGCCTATCCCTCTCTCAGGTTGTGGCCAAGCAGAGCAAGCCCATGTGGAGGAGGATGGGTGGCTCCAAGCACCTACCCCGCTGCTACAGAGAGGCAGATAGTTTTTGACTGAAATTTTGTGAGCCCCAAAATAGTGCTCTAAGTGTTTAATGCTTTTGTCTATTAGACAGCAAATTAGCCCTAGGCTTGCAAACCAAATGAAGTTTCATCTCGATGATTGGAGCCTGCTCACCAGGCAGTTTTATCCCAAGTTCCTGCATGCTGGTTGGTCAGTGAAACGGAGACTGCAACTTCTATTTATTGGTGCAATACAGTATTTGATACTGCTAATTACACTTAATTAGTCCTTCCACCATTTAATTAAAATGGCTTCTAATGATTGTGCTTCTTTGGCAGGCTCTTTGGTACCACCGGGAATTGTGCTGCCTGCAGTAAACTGATCCCTGCCTTTGAGATGGTGATGAGGGCCAGAGATAATGTTTACCATTTGGACTGCTTTGCCTGTCAGCTCTGCAACCAGCGGTGAGGACATGGTTATTATACACACAAACACAAACTAATTTATACCTTTGCCCGCAAAATAGGAGAAATGTTTGATCCGTGCTACCTGTCTGGGGCTCACAGCCTGCTGGCGTGGCTTGTGCTGGTTTATTAGGCTGATCTGGGTGATGCATGTAAGTACCTGTAGCCCTTTTAGTGCAAATCCCCTTGGAGCTGCTGGGAGTTGGAGGGGCAGGGGGGAGCACAGACACACAGACTGTACGCAGCACAGCTGCTGCTGAATAAAACAAACTGCTTCAGCGTCCTTTCAGGATCTACCCTCTTTGCAGGATACAGACGATGGAGAATGGACCTCCTCCAGCAGACAGATGTTATCTTGCTTAAACTGGATTTCTGACAGGCTGAAAACTGGGGATGGCAAAGAAGAAGGAGAAAGAGAAGGGACAGGAAGGAGAAAAATACTCTAGCTAAGCCCTCTCCAACACTAGGAACAAATTGCTTTAGTTGTTGTGTAATTAATAGAGGACCTTGGTGGCATAATTTTGAGTGGGACTTGTGTATTTCTGCTGGGTTTCACCTAGTGGAAAATGCACACCTTGGAGTATAATAAAGGGCCATGAACAGTGTTTTCACTTGGACTACCTGTAGCCAGTTGAATATGGGAGGCCTGTGAAAAATCTTCCTAGTACCCTGTTTGTTGATTATTGTAGGCAGAATGGGAGCCCATAGAACCAGACATGATACAGTGTCACTTTCTGATGCACCTGTCCATCCATCTTTATCTAAGATAGACCTGAAACCGCTTGCTGTTCTTACTGCTTGTTTAGACAGGCTGCAGTGACTGCCCAGGGTCCAAGGGCTGTGCTGGGGTTCCTGTTAAGGCTCTGTGGTTGTGTTTCCCAAAGATGCAACTAGAATGCAGTGCTTCACCCCATGGGAAGCTGTGAGAGAGATGACAAAACTTGTGGGAAGATGGAGAACCCAATTCTGTAAAAGTCAAGCTAAAAGCCTGCCTTAAAAATTCACGGCTCGCTCTTGAACAAGTCACAGTGGGATCTCTCATAAAGCAGCCACACATTACGTGTGTGAGTGCAAACCCCTGCCACCTTTTCTCTAAACCAAGGAGACCCTGTCTGATCCTCCTTCCCTGCCCTCTGACGGTGGCTTAGCCCATGGGATGCACGGGGTTGCAGCTTGTTGGTGCCAGAGCATGGAAGAGATGAATCTGGTGAGTCACATGCAGCTCAGGTGGCTTTACCTGGTCACTTACTGAAGGCAGAGGCAGTGTTTGTTCGAAATACGAAACTCCCATTAATACTGTCGCGTCCACGAGCGCGGTGGCAGTGCCGGGGCGGCAGTGACATCTAGTGGCTCTTGGCCTTGGGCTCTCTCCGGAAGCTATGGGGAATCTTTCAGGTGCCCAGTCTTGTTTTGTGGCTCTTGAACATGCTCCTGCCACAGCCATGATCTCCAGCCAGCAGCGTGTGACTGCACAGAGCTGATAACCTCATTCCCCGACGTGCTCCCCCTACATTGCTAAAATCACTGCTCTGGGGTTTGTCTCCAGTCTCAGAAGCACTGCAGGTGCTGCCAGACTCAGCCCTCAGGCTCAGCTCTCTTCAGCCTGCTGATGGAGGCTGGGCAGGAGAGGGGTGTTTCCAGCTCCACACCGATACGAGGGCTGGAGCATTTCAAATGTCACTTCAGCCAGAGGCAAGTCACAGCTCTGGGCTGCACAGGTAGAAGTGCTGGGTTGGCCTTGGAGTCTGCAGGATGAGTATCATCAACCCCCTGCTTTAACTGACTTCTCTCATGGAAAAGCTAGTGCTGCCTAGTTTTCATATTCAGTAATTGCTTTTAAATTTCACCCTTTATTTCAAAGGCTCCAAAGCACCTATCTCCTCCCTCCCTTCACTCTGTGATTGCTAACACTATTACTATGCTCAGTGCAAAGTGTGGTCCTACTCTGCCCTTCAGATAACCTCTACACACTGCAGAGAGCACAGGTAATCCCCCTGTTCTGGCAGAGTCGCGCTTTGATGCACAAGGGATTTGCCCAGTTTGGGAGGAGTTGAGTTGTTCTGAAAGATGGGCTGAGTAGGCAGCATAGAGCTATGTGCAGATTGTTATTTTTGTCTGAGATCAGAGGGCTACAGACTTCTATGACTTATTCTGTAGAGATTTTGGCTTGAAAGGACAGAATGGAAGTGATCCTGTAACAGATGACATTGGATGCTGAACTGAGAACAGTGAGATTAAGTAACCCTAAAGTCAAAATAGCAGAGGTGGATGCCAATACTAGTTCTGAACTGGAAACCCCACCTGAAACCCCTTCCTATTCTTCAGCTATGAAAAGATTTGATGATGAAGACCTTTCTTTAGTTCTCTTCCAACTTACTTGCCCTTCTATAGCAGGACTTTGTGTAGAGTGTTAAATCGATCAGAGCAAAATCTGTAATATTTTTACCAAGTGTGTAGTGTTTTCATTAGCTTCATTCTCTAAAACATCAGGTTTGCGGCAAGTCCTGCATTGCTACTCAGCCTACTGTGCTTTTAACTGTTCTAAAGTCAACATGGTCATCAGAGTGTTGAATAAAAGCTGGTCACTGCTGTAACTGGCTAATACATCAGTATTACAAGGGTTGCAGGAAATCCAGCTGTTTCTGTTGCCATTATCTGAAGTGCACTTTTGCTCAGAAAAAAAAATCGCTCTGTAGAAATGGCAGGGTAGGTCCTGTGCCTGTTTCTCAGCTGCTAATCAGCTGAATGGGCTCTGCAACAGCCCTGCTCTGAGCATGGGGGCTGGTGGTGCAGTCCCATGTCTTGCTCTGAAGAGAGCTGTGGACTGGGACACATGAAACTGGACCTGACATTGCCCTGTTAAATCCTCTGTCTTTAGTAGTGATGAAGCTGATGAGATCCCAGTTTACTGGTGGGTTTGCAGGACTGGCAGGTAGAAAGAAATAGTTGCCTTTCCAGTGAATCAAACCCTTCTCCTAAAACTTCACAGGGTATTAGGGTACCTTTGATGTGCATTTTAGTTCCCATGTGCTCATACATACACACACACACATCTACCACTGCCCTAGTTCTCCATCCCCTCCTTTGGCTCCCCTAGACCCAAACAAGGTTTAGCAAGAGACAATTGTCGATGATGCTGGTGGCAAGAATAATTTTTGCATTTCTCTTCCTGGCAATTTATATGGTGCTTAAGGTAGGGATACATAGCACAAAACAAGCAACTATGTCTGTTATTTATAGTGAGTAAACCTGCTGGTGGGGAACATGGTTTTAGGGAGAGTATGTGCAGCACAGCTTTTAGCATAAAAGCTGTTAATTTAAATAGAGAATAATTTTTAGCTTTTTAATACACAAAAAAAGGTTGAATTTCAGAACTACTAAAGCATGTGCCACAGAAGGAAAGAGATGGAAGGTCTCCAATGAAAGCATATAAAGTGAGAACCAATGCCCAGTTCTCTGTGTACCAACCTGGCAAATTAATCAGCTTATTTGCAGGTGTCCAGTTGGAGAAAACTTGTGCCTATGTTGGACCTATAAAGGAGGTATAAAATGTTCAGTCCTGTTCTTGTGGCAGAAAACATTCAGTTTTACGGAGATGCTCTGCCTGAAGCTGCCTGAGTTACAAATCAAGAAAGCGTTTAGACAAGGAGTAGGCAGTGTTCCTGACAAAGCTCTGCCTGGGAGCAGAGGAAATGGGCATATAAGGTCTGCTAAGTCTCCTGAGGATGGGTCATCTCCTTTGATTAAAGCTCAGTGAATATTTGGCCTCACCAGAGGCTGGTACCTAGCTGTTCCTCTCAGTTCAGAGCTGCCTTGAGGCATAGTTCCCAACCCAGGGTGCCTCTCTGCTTTAGTGACCTGGGGCTGATATCAGACTCAGCACTCGGGGCAGGAAGATGATCTGTCATTGCCCTGCAAGTGTGATGGACAAAAAGCAGCCCCTGAATTGGGTGCAGAGAACATTATTAGTTGTCCAAAAAAGTAAAGATTAGCTTCTGATTCCTGAGCAAGCAGGCAGGGTAAAAAAGCTATTGGATGTCAATTCACACCTCTCAGATCTTATATGTAGAACTTTTCTGACCTTAATGGTCAAATAAAATTGTTAAATATCACAAGTTTCTCTGTCAACTTCAAGACAAACAGAACAATTTACATGGTATATAGAGAGCAGTGCCCTTCGCTCAATGAAGATAAAGGTTAGGAGTCCAGCCACCGGGAAATTTCTATTTATTGTTCAGCACTGTACACAAGGGGGTGAGGAAGGACTTAATAGCCAGTCCTTGCCTGGAAATTAGTGTAAATACTACTTCACCCGAGGGAACTGTGCAAATGTGGATACCAGCAAAAACTTCAAATAGTCTCTGTGTAATATCACCTGCTTGATTCCCGGTTGGAGAGTCAACACCTCTCGTCTGCAGGGGCAAATCTCTCAGCTGCTGCTGTCCTCCTCCCACTGCTGGTGCAGGGCCCAACAGGGACCAAGACCTGCTCCCTAAGCTGCTTCACAGAGCCATGGCCCAGAGATGAGAACTGCTGTGCTAAGGAAAGGGACAGCAGAACCCCAGGGGGTGTGCAGTGAAGGGAAGCGGGGGAAGAAACACGTAGGCTTTCCTGGGGTTTGATGCCAGTGGCAGAGCTAGGCATCTGGTCACTGGAGTCACCCACAGACCCAAACAGACTCATCCTCCCCATGTTCTGACGTCTGCTCATATTTAAATTCTTCTTATCTTCCAGATTCTGTGTGGGAGACAAATTTTTCCTGAAGAACAACATGATCTTGTGTCAGATGGACTATGAGGAAGGGCAGCTGAATGGGAGCTTCGAGTCCCAGGTTCAATAACAGACCCTGCTTCACTGAAGCACTGTGGGATGGGCGCTTGGCCGCAGGAGCAGCGAGGGCGCCTGTCAGCTTGCCTGCAATATTTTTTTAATTCTTGGTCCAGAGAGGACTATATACATTGTAGTACTTTTCCCCCCCAACACAAAGCAGTTACAATTTTAGATGTGCAGTTGTGCCTGCTTAGCTGAGCACTGCATTGCCTGTATGTTTGTGAGTTTTTGGGGTCTGGGGGAGGGCTCTGTACAGTCTGTTTTCTGTATATAAACTGGAACATTTATTTTATGAAAAATGTAATGCGATTTTATTACTGGTGTGAATTAAAAATTATGAATGTTTCCTGGTCATCTTTGCTGTGGTTTGTTCCCCATGTGGCGAAACCCTGTCTTTCCTGTGCTAGGTGTTGAGAAGACTATTAGAAACAGATCCCTGGAAACTGCATGGATCACAGCAGAGGGCAGGATCACACACACCAGCTGGGGGAAATGCTGCTGCAGAGTTAGACATTTCTGCTTGAACCATGTGAAGACTTATGTCCCACCACCTGCTTCCCTATCCAATGGGAGGGAACGAGCTGGGGGCAGGTGATGGCTGGGAACTGTCAGTGTCACTGGCTGGGTCCCACCAAGGCTGCTGTGCCTTGCTGAGCTGCTGGCTGAGAGGCATCTTGCTTTGCACTTCTGTGAATCCAGACAGAGCATTTCCATGGCCAGGAGTGCCTGTTGGCCAGCTAATATGGTGTCTCAAATCTGGTCTGTGAGGAACAGGCTCCCTCTACCCCCCCAAACAGGTGCCTAGGCATTGATCAGAATATTAATTTCAAGGCTTTGATAGGCAGTAGGATTTTCCCATGGGGCATCACTTGTCCTAGGTCAGAGCTGCTGCAAGAGCTGATGTCAGGGTTCAGACATGACCGGATGCTGATGCAGCATCCCTTCTCACAGCCCTTTTTGCTTACTCTGTGCCAGGTGCTTTGACCTCCCATATAACAAAAGCGATCAGATTTGAAGCATCTCCCGGAGAAAAGCTCTGAACTGTGTTCCTGCTGCGATGCTTTGTGCAATGATTTTCTAGGTTATGCAATTCATGTGCAACCCACTGGACTGTATCAAACACATTTCTTTGTATGGTGAGTGTCACTTTAATACAGTGCACCAGTAGCTGTAAAGGATGGCTGCAATTCTATTTATTTTGTCTTCTTGTTTTTTCTTAGATTTACCCCCCTTTCCTCTAATAAATAGACACAGTACATTTTTCTGATGTGAATTAATTGATTGCTGGTCCTGGGTCGCTTGTGTGTGTTCTCTGAATTGCAAATGCCAAATGCATTGCAGCTTGGTGCTGCTCTGCCTGTTGCATGAAGTGCTTTTCTGCACACCTGTGCTGAATAATGGCTAAACAAGCAAAACACGACTAGACACTTAGTATGCTTCAAAATAGTGCCTGTCATCTGAAGCTAACTCAGACATGTAGATTGATTGACTTTTTCTTCACAAACAGACATTTTGCATTGGGAGACCCATTATAAAATGTGTGGCCCCATCCCCTTTTATTCCCATAAACACGGGATAGCAATCAAAACCCATCTATAGCTGCATATGGATAGGTGGTGTTTTAATTGCTGTTCCATTTTAGTGCTTTGTGGGGTTGGGGGAGGTTGTCTTTTGAGAGACTGTAGAGTTGATATGCTTTTTTAGAGGCTACAGGAGGCAGCCATACTGAGGCTATGGAAGGAGCAGCTAGTTGCCCAAATGTTTTGATTCCTTGTTTTGAAATGGGCTGCCAGACAGCTGCTGCCTCTGCCTGTGCTCCGGAGCAACGGCTCCCAGCCTGCCTGTGGGATTTGCTGCAATTCAACACACAATGGCAGCACACAAGGTGCTGTTCTGTAGTGAGGAAGGGAGCAGCAAAACCAAACCAAAACCAACCACTAAAAAAGCTGCAGGGACTATTCAGATTTAGTTCAGATTCTTAAGGAGAGGTTTGGTACCAGCTTAAAAATTGAGACCTTCAATGAATGGTACCTTATAGAAAGCATTTTTCTTTCTTGGCTTAGGTGGAATGAAGTGAGGAGGAAAGTCTAACTTTTCGGAGCTGCTTGACAAATGCCAGCTAATGGCTCTGTGGCTGGCAGATCTCTTGTACATCTCTGGGAAAGCTGCAAAAATAGCACCTCAGAGGGAGGAGAATGCTGGAGGAGAGGGTAGTTTGTGCTGCAAATCCCATCCTACTGTTGGATGAATACAAATGACACTTGGTTGGTGTGAGCTATGTCTTGCTTCATACATGAGTCCCCACGCTGGCTCTATAGGGGAGATGTAGCCAAACTGGGCATGTTTGGATGTGTCTGTTAGTTATACCATGGGCCATGGCACATGCAACGGCATCTTGTTGCCTCCCTGCACTTGCCCTTGCTGTGAAATCCAGGCAGTGCTCCCCCCTGGGGGTGCAGGTACTTCACTTCTCATAGGCAGCCCTCTTGATTTGTCACCATGGCTGTAGATCCAATTCCTGATGCCTAACAAGGAATTTCACAATGCTGTTTCATGCAAAAGCCCCGGCTGGCGGCTGGGGGGGGGTGGGAGGGAAGCCTGGGGCAGGACACAGCTTCTTGCTGCTGAATGGGGTGTGGCAAAATATACAAGGGATAAATTGTCCAGCGTCTGTATCCCTCTTCTCTGTGTCTGTGCAGCACACACGGCCCACCTGCCACAGCCTGTGCCCTGGAGAGCGTTGGATGTGGGATCTCTTTAAAAATAAAAATCCCAGGAGGACAATGCAATCATGAATTTTTGTCTGAACACTGCAAATTTGCTTAATAGAAACAAGTGCTGGAGTGCAGACCTGCTGCTGAATAATCGCTTCCACTCTACGGAGCAGAGTGCGGAAACCTTTTGATGGTGTTATAGTCATCACTTGGCATAAATATTCATTCAAGGAATCAGAGCAGAGTAAATGGCATTTTAGCTGCTAATCATTTAGTATTAGCAGATAGCCTTTTTACTGCTAAAGATAACCACTGCTTAATCAGTTTAGTGACCACTGGCATATAGTATGACATTTAAGCCTGTGCCTCAGTCCCCATGTTGAGGACACAGCTGCTGGTGACCCCTCTGCCCAAGCCTCCATCGTTCCCAATGTCAGCCCAGCAGCTGCCAACTGCACTCAACTGGCTTTAACTTCTGCATTATCTGCCATTTACCTCCTTATCTTAGATCAAAGAGGTATTTTAGGTTCATACTACAAATGTTGAAATCTAGGATCTTCTTTCTTTCTTTTTTTTTTTTTTTTCAGTCAGGGCTAATCGCTGATCACAGCACAGTCTGATTTTGAGATTAAAAACAAGCCAGTATTTAAAGGCAATCAAAATCTTAAGCTTCTTCTCCATTCATCTTTAATGCTGGTGTAATCGCTGCACAGATTCTGGCTCTTCCTCCAGACTTAATTTATTTTATTTTTGGAGTGTGCCCCTGTCTGTCAGAGGGATGTTATACTTCCCTGAGCAGCATTAGCGCTATTGAGCACTCTGCCATCAGCAATCCAGCTCACCCCATTTCATATCTTGCCAAACAAGTTAATCTAATATTAACAGCGGTTTGTTACCTCGCTGTTAGCTTAATTTACTTTACAAGAAATGCAATATTTGCATTTCATCCCTCTGTCATTGGCTTGCAAACGGCGCTTCCCAACGCCAAGAAGGGATGGCTCGCACCATTCGGCGCCAGTCCCTTGACGCGGCGTTGCCTCATGGAGGAGAGGGCCATCACCCCCACCAGGCATTTTCCCTAATTGGCTGGGGGGGGATATGAGGAATTGGAAGGAGGATTTCAAAAGCCATAGAGCAGGTCCTGGAAATGCAATATTCAGATTAGCACAAATACTGCTGCTGCTCTTCCAGTAATAGAGCTGAGCTGTAGACAGGAGTTTTCCCTGGTGGCAAACATATACAGTAAATGTCTTTAGTATGGAAATCAACAGACATATGGGCACAGGAGCAGACATTTGCAACACCAACGGGTTCCTCAGGCTTTCAGGGGGTGCTCCCATGCCAGTTACTGGCACATGCCAGGGTCTCACCAAGGTCTGTCCATCAGCATGGTGAGGACCCTGCACCTCACTTCCAAACTGCTGGGATAGGGGAGCTGGGAGCAAAGTCCTCCAGGCAATTGCCCAAAAGCCACTTCCTCAAATGACCCAAATCCCAGCCCTCAGCAACTCTCAAGACAGGAAGACTCTTCTTCATCAGCCTTATGAAACCATGACAGCTGCAGGGCCTGAGGGAAGGTGGGACAGGTCTGGGGATACAACATGGTGGCTGTAGGTGACATAAGTGATTTTATGGCTGGGACTGGCCTCCCTAGCTTAGGCAATTTGGAATGGCTGCAGGTAGAGATGGCTTTTGCCAGTGAAAGTTTCTGACTTAATTCTTGTTTAGCTCACTCTGCATCCCATTTCTAAACCCTGTCCCTGTTTATGGGGTGGTGGCTTCCCATCTGCTCTAGCAATTGCTGTGTTCTTCTGTGCTAGCAGGCAGAAGTAGAGTTGTCTGCACTGAGTTTTTAATACTATTTACAAATGGGAAAGTACAGCAGTGAGGTGATTCCACTCGTTCTGTCCTCTCACTCCCCTATGTCCCTAGATGTCAGCTTCTCATGCAAAAATGGACTTTTTAGTAGAGAGGGAGGTTGCAAATATTTTTGTAGGGGAGCCCATTCAGTTGTGGGACTGGTCCCTGACCACCTGCCCTGTTGCACCTCAACTCATCAGGTAGCTCCAGCTCCTCTTCTGCTGGGCATGTGCTTCTCTGAGACTCTCCATCTTCTCACTCACCCCCAGGCACAGTGTCTCTTGTGGTGCCCTCTGAGGCAGGGTTGAGTCCCTGATGAAGGCACAGGCTCTGAGGGAAACTTTGGTTTACACAGGTCAGTGTAGCTATCACAGCTTACGGGAACTGAATGACTCTGTCTGTCTGTCTTTCTTGCTCTGGTTTTAATAGCAAAATGCTGAAGGATGCCAAGGATGACTCTGGTCAGGCTGAGACATCTGGTGGCAGCTGCTTTGTGGTTTTTAGTGAAGGTCTTAGAGAACAGGGCTGGAAGCACCAAACCTGCAGAAGCAGCAGGAGACAGAGGTGGATTGAGGCAGAGTATCAGCTGCAGATGAAAGTACTGAATATTGGTAGATTACTGTATGCAATTGGAGGGCAAGGACCCAAACCAGAGGTCAGTTTTGCCACAAAAGCACTCTGAAACACCTCATAAGTAATGTAAATATAAATAACATGAATGGGACAATATTACGCTGGCCACAGCTTTGGGGTCAGCCATCCCAGCAAAACCT